TCTTGTGAGCGTTTTTTTTAAAACTTTTTTTTTTTTTTTTTTTTTTTTTTTGTAATTGCTTGTACCTGTCTCTAGCCATACTGATATTCTGCAGCAGCCTCTGCGAGACATATGGCAGTTCCTTTGTCTGCCTGATTGGTAAGGCTTTTTGCTCTGTCATATTCCACTGTAGTGACAGAAGGTCACTCAATAGTGACAGTGAGATCTTTGAACATTTATCCGATCTCTATCAGGAGGACAGTCTCCTCCATTGCTTTTGGTTCCAGGTTTTTCCAATTTCAAGTCAGAAAATGTCAGCCTAATTCCAGCTTAATCTCACCTGGTTCCCCAGCATACATCTAAGAGGAGACATGGCTGATATGAAAAGAGAGTTACTACAGCTGCTTGATCCATGAGCCCTGAAGGGATATCTTTGATGTGGTGCTAGAAGATTTGAATTATCTTCCCTTCGAGGGTGTCAGGGACAAGCAAGAGAGTTCAAGATTCACCAGAATCTCCTGTCGGAGATCTGCCTTCCTGAGACTTTAGCTCCATAACAGATTCACATGCATTGAATGATTAAAGTTCCCCGAGGCAGGAGATCTGAGATTATCTCAGAGCTTTTTTTCAGGATTTGGGATGTGCTGAGGTCAACCTCTTGGTCTCCAATGACAGCTACGATGATAGGTTCTTGCTGCCAGACCAAAGCTGGTGCTCCCTTTCAGCTGGTGCCCCTTCCCTGTCCTCACTTCTGTTAAGGACAACCAAGAATGTACAAGAACACCATAAAAGAGAAGATCTCTGTTCACTAAAGCGGAAGTCTCTGCCCTCTAAAGTATTTGCTCTTCATCTCCCCATTTTTTTTTCAGGCTTTTCCACCCAGGCTGCTGACTCTTAAAGCAGCTATTCCTTCTTTCCTTGGGACTTGATCTCACACGGGCATCCAAGTGTTGTGTCTTCTTGTGTGTCTGCCCTGAGCTCAAAACTAGGTGGACTCTATGACAGAGACTGCCTGTTGCTGTTTTCCTGGTAAATGACGAGCAAGACTCATTCTAAATTCTTGTTAAAGGTCATTTACGAGTTCTGACAAATCAAGGGAGTAAGCTGACTTCCTCTTTTTTCTCTCTAACGTGCTACTTCCAGAGAGGCCTGCTTGTACTAGCAGGGTAAGTTCAGTGGGCTGGAGTCTTGAAAAGTAATCTTAGTATTGTCAGTCATGACTTTGGAGAGGCATAAAATTATTACAAAGCCGTAGGATGGCCAGTTTGGAACAAATAATTGCTTTCTTGGCTTACAGACAACCCTGTTCCCGAGTACCCTGGGTTATAATAGCATTTTGTCAGATTTGTTAATCAGAAGTGGAAAAATACAGCACAACTAATCTCCAGGGCTGCCAAGTAAGATGTGTATATGTGATACCGAAAGACCTGGAACTTCCCAGGAGAGGGATCATCCAGTTCAGAAAAGTGCCTGGGGATTATGGAAACCTTCTGCCTTGTCAGTGCGCTGAGACTCCTCGCCCTTCCTGTGCAGGCTCACCCCGCAGCACGAGCGCTCGCGGGGCCACAGAGATTGTGCTCGTGCTCCCTTTCAACACCTGTAATTTAAAGGCAGGCAAGCAGCTGAGTACACACCGGATGCATAAAAGATAAATAACATTGGAAGCACAACCTCTGTCTAGTTTGACAGGTTCAACAATCGGGCTGCCGCTTCCCGTAGGAGGCTGTGCCAGATCAAAGAGCTTGTACTGTTCCCTGGCCTCAGGTTTTTTAGGACAGGGCTACAATACCACATACACGTTCTGCTCATAACTCAACACCCGGCGATTATTTATGGACCTTCTTTTGGGGAGAGTTTGCCTGGTTCAGAGGAAATAGACCATGATTACTAGGAGCCTGGCAGGCAGGTGTTTCCTCTGATACCTAGAAAAAACCTGAATCTGACAAACTGAACAATCATCCAAACACAAGATTGATGCTAAATATCAGACCTTTTACATATACTTATTGTTCTCTAACCTTTCTGAACAGCCAGGGTGACTGAAGGTATCTTGATTTAAAGATATGACTGTACAAACAGTCCGCGGCTGGTTTTGAGCATGAATTGGTGTGGAGAAAAACACTGTGCTGGAAAGTAATTGAAAACTTTCCAGAAAGCAGCAGCTTTCTGTGGCTGTGAAAGCCACTCGCTGTTTGGATAAATTAAGCTATTAGGCTTACTGTACTTAGGCCTTCCCTTACCAAAACTGCCACTGGCGGTTATGAAGAGAAGGTAGCTGTGCCGTTTTGATCTTGAGAGAGAAAACAAAGGTGCTACAAGCTGTTGCTTTTTGCGTGTCAGGTGAATGGGGCTTGAAGGCTGTTAGATGCAGGTCTGTCATGACAGAGTCAGAGAAATCTTCTTCCAGCAGCTGCTCTGCTTAAGCATCCATCTATTTGAAAAACAAGCAACAAACTTATAAAAGCAATGCCTCATGCTCGTCACTGGCTGTTCAGTGTGTATTTTGGGGGAACAAACAATTTATTGTCTAACGACTAGAAGTAGCTGGAGGGGATTCTGACTCACTTGAGGGAGTCAGGCTGCTGCCCTAACAAGTGTTTTGCCAGCTATCGCTCGCTACAGCGCTCAGCTGTGTGCTGCCACCCGCACACCTTGGGTACGTGTTTGTAAAGCCTCCGATGATGCAACAGCTCCCATTTCCTCAAGGACAAAAATGCTAGACAGTGCAGATGAAGAGAAAATACAGCCAGTATGTACACGTCTCACTGCTGGTGTCTGCCTCGGTGCCTGGAGTGGTGGAACAAGCCCCAGCAGCTGTGGCAGGAGGACAAAGCACTGGGCACGGTCTGGAGGCCTGCTCAGGCCTTAGGTCACTGGTGACTTTACAAGACTAGGGCTACCTGCGTGAAGGTATGAAGGTAGCCTCTGTCCGCCTTCGCTTGTGCGCTCACTGATGCCGACTGATCTCTGGAGAGATGCACAATTAAGCTTCCTTGTGTGAATCCTCCTGTAAAATACATGCCTGTAAAGAAATATTTTGTTGGGAGTGAATAATACTGATTGGCTCTGTCTTTACCCTGGGGAGCTGAAAGAACATTTACAGGCTGTCCTCCGAGACCCACCAACCAAAATTCAGGCTCCCTTCATTTAGCCTCTAGGGCTGTAATCTGGCCTTTGCTGTGTAAGTCACAGCGTGACATTTTGCTGATCTTGTAATCGCAAGGCCGCGGTCAGTGGTAATGTCAGGCTGAAAAGGTTAAACCCTGTTTGCCTCTTTACCATTGTTCAGCTTTGAGTCATTTCCCTGCTGCGGAGCTGTGAGGCTGGACCTTATGGGGGAGCGCTTTTGTGGCTGCAGTTTCGGCTCTCACGGCTGGGGACTGACCTGCCCAGGCAGGGCTGCGGCCAGAGCACAGGACTTTGTGCCAGTCTATTGTTGTCTAGTGACAATCAGGGTAGCAGGCCTGTACCGTTCTCCCAGTCTCATTAGGAGTAGCCCCTGAATTCTGTTCAGGGGATGCAAAGAACAGACGTAGGCACATTGTTCCCCTGAATGCCACCCATACTAAATCAAGTATCTACTCCAGAACACAAGCATTGAAAAAAATACCCACCTAAAGTCATTGAAACATAATTACTAAAACCTTTTATGTTACTCTACAGTACAATGTAAATTGTTCCTTTCAGATTTTGAAATACACTAGATTACATCATTTAAATAATCGCAAACTTTTAAGTTCACTATTTGTGGTAGCAGAGCTATATTTACATACACTTCTGAGACATTTCAGATGCAGCATTATGTTCCAGTCCCTAAGCCAGTTAAATAACAGACTTTCAGTGGGAGTGTATTGCTCTTCCACAGGTTCTACACATATTTGAGGCGTACGTGTCAGAGAGCAAGAACTCCTTTTATTCTTGTCTGCTTTTTTTTTTTCTTTGCTGTGTGCATGCAGCTGAATCTGAGCAAATTGATACCTACTTGATTTGGATTAAGACACAAGACCTTTCTTTTTAAGCAAGTATTTTGACTGAATATACAGGGGTGAATAATGAAATATAGTCCTTAGGAGTAGCAGTGGAAAAGATCATTTTCTCCAACTTTCCTCCCCTGTTGCATAATACCGCACCTAATTTTGACCCTGACTTTACCTAATGCTGATGAAATACAGTCAATGGTGGAAACCTCTCTCATGTTGTCAAGACTGGCTTTCAACACAATCCATGCAATGGCAAGCATCATACATCATTCTCCCGCAGTGCAATATTAACAAGTTAAACTCAGTATTTTCCTCGAGATCTGCTCCTCAAGGGAAGCCCATCTCTGTATGTACATCAGCCACAAACAGGTTGTGAGTCCCGAGGCTGGAGACCAGAATTAGGCTGTAATGCTTGCTTCCAGTGCTGCTAAGAGTCTTTGTGGGCCAGGCTCCTCCCTGTGTTGTCCACGGAGCAGAGCAAGTTCAAGCCACCGAGGCTCTTGATGGTCCTTGGCACGTGGCACTGGTCAAGCCAAGTCTCCCTGCGTGCTGCCCGTGCAGGGCTCAGGGCCTGGTGTGAGGGGTGCTGATCATGATGTTGGGCAGCGCATTGCGCCGCTTCTTCCAGGAGCCCAGCTCCCTCGAGTACCGCCTGATCTGCCTGAACCAGTGGTGAGTCCGTGCCCGGTCGCTGTCCCGGAACACAAACGCCTCCCGTCTGATCTCAATGAGTTCAAAAGTGTCGTCACAGTCAGGATCAGTAGAGACAATGCAATTACTCAGCCTCAAGGGCTCCCTGAGCAAATGGAACTTCCCGTTATTTTTGTCCCTGATGAGTACCAGCACGGCATCCTTCACAGGCCCTGGCTCAGCTGACTCCAGGCTGGACTCCGACACGCGCTTCATGTTCACCAGGAGGAGGACCTGCATGTTCTGGAACTTCAGGGTCTTGCTACCTTTCTTCACCCACTGGCCGTCAGGGGGCTGGGCCAGCTGCAGAGACCCCTCCATCACAAATCGCGTCTCTTCCCGCAGCCAACCTACAGTTTTGAGGGCGGTTTCTCTCATCTCGATGTTGATGACTTCCCTCTTCTTCTTGCTGTCCTGGCGAAAGGAGCGGAGGGTCCACGTGTTCCCCTCCTGCTTGGTTTTCATGTTGATGTGCTCCAGGTGGGACTCGATGCGGCTCTTGGCCTCCCGCAGGCTGCCATGATCTGGGTGGTACTCGGTGGTGGCCTTGATGATTCTGCTGAGCAGCAGTGGGTACTTGGTGACTCTTTGCAAAGGGGCCATCAGGAAGGACCTCAAATTCATCCGCCGCAGTGCTGTGTTGTCATTCTGGGAGACATTGAGGAATATTCTGCAGGGATTTAAAAAGAGGGAATGAAATGGTGGCTGTTCTGCCAGCAGATGCTGCAATCCTAGATGCAAATGAACAGTGTGGTGCTGACAGCTGCTGGGCACTGCAGCCCCCCCTCTGGTTTTAACAGCCTTGTGAATTCTGTCTTCTCAAAAACTAACAACAATTTCTGCAGCTGTGCTCAGCTGCAGAACAGCGATGAGGTGCCTGGGACACTAGCACATAACATCCTGGCAGTCTTCCATTAAATCACTGTAAAACAACGAGGGTGTGATCTTTCTCTGGTACACACTGATGTAGGCCCAAGGCAGACACATCAGCTTCTATCAGATTACATTAATTTGTAGCTCCTTTCATCATTAGATCACAAAGCACTCTAAACAAGAATTTGGTACCATCATCATTTTAAGCTGTTGCCGTGGAAAGAGAGAAGTGACTCGCCTGACATTGCCCAATAGGCCAGGGCTAGGAATGGGAAACAAACTCAAGTCAGGCATGCTTCACACAGTGGCTTTCCCCAGTGGAAATCCAAACCATGCTCTGGCGCAGGGGCTGAGAGCTGTTCTCAGCTGGGTGTTATTTGGTGAAAGTTCAGCCCAGTGGTCAGTGGGCAAACACTGGTACCACAAAACACAGTATACGGCTGGGGACCAGCTGGCTGCCCCAGTGGAGATATCAAGGGGTTAATATACGTTGGAGAGTAAATTACTCTGCCCACCCCAGGAGAGAGCAGCTCATCACTGAAGAACATTAGCACCAAAACTTTGATCTAGTTGAGCTGATGAAGGCTTCACCCTCAGCCTGGTGCCTTCCTGTCCCCAAAGCCTGGAAGAATACGCTCAGCCCTTTTCTCACCTGAGCAACTCTTTCTCCTTCTCCAGTGCGTTGAGCATATTCACAGAGGAGGACTGCTGAAGACAGTAGGTCTGAAAGGCTGGCAGCATGTTGACAAACTCCAGAAATATTTCGCCGATGCAAACGGTCATCAGGTCATCGTCACCCTGCAAGCATACAGCCCCTGCGGGTTAGCTCGGGAGAGGCACAAGCATGGAGCCTGCCCTTCAGTCCTATCAGCATGAACCTACTGCAGGATCTGGTGAACACCAGACCAAAGGTGGAACTGGGCTCAGCCTTCCTGGTGGAAAGGCAGTCCCTGCAGGTCCAGGGGGAAGCAGTGCATGGGGAGGGAAAGCAAAGCTGGTCTAACTTCTGGCTCTTCTACACATAAAGAGACGTCTTCTCTGGTTCTGTGGGCTTGGCCAGCTCACCAGAGCAGGCACTCAAAGGCCAGAGGCCAGACTGAGCCTGCGAGTCAGGAGGGTGTACTGTGGCCCTTCTTGCCGGCACGTCTGCCATAAGGCTAATGCAGCAGTGCATAAATTCACAGAGAGCATTTAGGAGCAAATGGGCAGAGGAGGCCTGTAACTCAGGTAACAGACATGGCACTTAACAACTTCTGCAGTTGTTCTCAGCAACTGTTCTGGCTGGGAAGCAGTCTCCTTCAGTTGTGCTCTTACTGGCTACTTTGACACCTAAGTGAAAAATAAATGTCATGGTAAATTGTTCTCTGATTCCTGAATGTGTAATAAAATAAGGGAATAGTAAGAATCTGGTGCCACATAATGCTCTTAGCTTTGTCTAGGTGTATGCTGACACGCTCTGCAATCACTGCTCCTTTGAGCAGCGAGAGAGGGAGCAGCTCTCTGGCTCCTGGAGGCTTTTTGGTGCAGTACTGAGCTCTGACTGCAAAGGGAAACATGGAGAACGAGACAGGGAAACTGACGGCTGTTTGTAGAAGCCATTGTCTCAATAAATTATTCACAGGGGACATCACACCCACAGTGCACATCTGTCTTCACTGTGCCAGGTGCATGAGAGTGGTTGCCAAAGTTGCCAGTTTTTGAGACATGTGTCGCTCAGTCTGACATGCAGGATTTCGGAGAGGGAAAGGAGGGATGTGTTTCCTAGAGAACAAAACATCCTGGTTGAGACTGATACAGCAACAAGTAGGTTCTGGTTTCTTGAAGAAAGGAGGGTGTGGAGCTGTTTATGTGTCCTTTGCAGTGATTGTCTGCTGCTCTAGAGTCTTATTTCTATTTCTCTGCCCTCTGACCACCATGCTCATGGGGTAGGAAAGTCCCTTGTGCAATGCAGGGTGCATCAGAAGAAGCAACTGGTACACAGAGCTGTAAGGGCGAAGCGTCACCAGAGCAGGGAGCAGCCTGTGCTGCCTGGCCCCGCAGCCAGCCTAGAGGCAAGCTGCAATAAACCACAACCCAAGGCAAATAAACCCAAGCCAGCCTGAAGCGAGCCAGCTCAGGGTTTGGTAAGAGCGTGACCTGTGAGCTTGGTCCCCTCCGTCCCTCTGGGCCAGACCAAGCTGAGCTCTGTGTCCCCATGCTCACACACTTATCAGTGTCCAAGCTAACTGGCTTAAAGCTAACTTTGGTAATGGGGCAGTTAGATCCTGTTAATGGGATAAATGAGCTAGACTGCTGATGGCCTGCTAATGTCAGTGGCATTACCACAGCAGAGGGTGAGGCCAGCAGCTGTGACCTGGCACAGGCCTACGGAAATCACTGGTTTATAATAGCTGAGGGAGAAAGGGACTGGGCAGATGACCAGAACCCCGGAGTCCTACCTCCTGATCCCCTGCTCCATCTATGCTGCCTCACTAGTGCAAAATCTATTCCTCTCTGCCTGGTCTGGCCCCTGTAGAGCACGCAGCATCATACCTGGTCAAAGGCCTGATCGATCTCTTCCTGGAGTACCTCCAGGAAGTTCTCGTTGAGGTCGATGAGCTCCTGGATGTTGCTGAAGATGCCCAGGAGCTGCTCCTGGCTCAGCAGCCCAGCCGCCTGCATGGGGAGGTAGAACTCCTCTTTGATGATGCGCAGGTCCTCTCCGTAGCTGGCCTCCGTGTTGACAAACTCCAGCACAGACTCCTTGCGCTCTGTCCTGCGCTTGCGGCACTTCTCGCATAGGTCAGCCCGCCTCTGATTGCAGTTCTGCACATCCGTCTCCACCGGGAGGTCCCTTTCTCCACAGTCGGTACAGGGACGGTGGGCTTCCCAGGCCTGCAGGGAGCTCAGCGTTTCAGATGCCCTGTTCCTCCACTTTCTGGCTGACATCTGGCCAATGCCACTATCTGCCCTCTCCACATCTGCTGACTTGGTCCGGGTGGCCTCGCTGGGATCCAGGTCGTCCCGGACATCGTTCACGCCAACAATCCCGCTGTCCGTGCTCAGGCTGCTGACGTTGCTCCAATGACGTCTGGAGCGGAGGGAGCCACGTGGGGCACGGCGGGTCTCATCAAAGCTGCCACCATGGCCAAGGTTGGCTTTTGCTACCACTGGACCTGAGAACAGACACAAATCATTACAGGCACTGCCAGCTGAGGAGCTCAAGCTGGCACAGCCATGAGCGGTAGGAAGCCTGGGGGGTGGGCTAGGTCTGGTGAAAGCAGGGCTGTTTGTTAGCTGTCTCCCCTCCTGTTTTGCTGCTGAGACTGGCGAGAGTCAGAAGTAACTGGCTCCCGGGTGAAGCCTGGGGCCTGTCATCCCTGCACTGCCCATACCTGTGAACTCATTTGGGCTCTCTCTTCCCCTGCCATCTGCCAGGCAGGGACAGAGACACAGCAGAGTAGATCCTGATTTCTTGCATGCCTGGGTTAAACCCAGAACACTTCCCTCCCCCAGGTCATTAGAGTCACTCTGTATTATCACCCGCATAGCAGGGCTCAGCATTTGGCCCATCAGCCCCCTCGGAGTGTGCAGAATGTGGGTACCGTAGTCTCGCTCCTGCCGGCGCTTCTGTGCATGCTGCCGTGCTGCAGCTGCAATCTTCAGCTCCAGCTGCTTCCTCTTCACCGAGTCTGTTGGCATAGGGTCGCTGAAGTGCGGCCGCAGACGGCACTCCCGCTGGGCCTTGGCACCATCCGTGCTCTCATGGACGATGTCAGAGCTGGATCGGCGGCAGCTGGGACTGGGGGTCTGCAAGAAAGGCAAGTGAGTTTGGAGCAAGGAGGTGGTCAAAGCAGCCAACCTGGTTTGCAGCCACTAGCCTTTAGTTGCCAAAGGAGAGAAAAGGAAACTCGTCAATGGTGGGATTGTAAATGCAGCTCTGCCACATGATCATTAGGAAATCCGTCCCCCCAGGTCCCTCTGTCTTGCCTAGTCCTAACAGCAAGGACCCCTCTCCCCTTGCTGTTGTGTAGCTCTGAGTACAGTGGCTCCATGGTGGCCGGATCACGGCTGCCAAACAACCATGAAGAAGTCAACAGCGTAGCCCTGGCTAAGGGCCTAAAGGGGAGGCTGAGCCTGACCTGCAGGGATCTGAGCTAGCTTGCCTCTGTTCTGTGAAGGTTTCAGCACTGCAGGGTCAGGAACTCCAGCCTCTATGCCTTACCTACATTAGCGGTTTGACCAAGTGGGGACTAGGAGGGAGTCTGTCTGATCTCCCCGGCAGTCCAGCAATGAGGGGCTGGTGGCACACTAAAAGCCGTGAAGGGGTTATTGCTGAACTCCCTGCAAGAGATGCAGCGGTAGATAGGCAGGGGCACAAAACTGACTCACGTTTCATTAACTGTAATAAAAAAGGTGCTAGAAATGCTTCTAACAGAGTTTAATCGCTCATGGGAGTTAGTGTGATTTCAGATGCCAGGCTCCCAGCTTGCCCAGTTCCTACGACAAAGGGATCCTTTAGAGCTTCTGACAAGAAAAAAAATCCTTGAACGCATGCCCAAGATAAGAGGGGAATTCCTCTCCCTTACATTCCCTGCAGGTGGAGTGTCGCTGGATGTCTCATTGCTTGGCTTGTCTTCCCAGGTCTCTGTTGCCATGGACATCGCTGTGGGCTGCTGGCTGTCCTCCGGAGGTGGGATATCAGCTTCCCTCAGATCACACTGTCCCTTGGAGGGGGATTTGGCAGCAGTCTCAGCATTGCAGCTGCAGGGGAAGAAGCAGACTCTGATGAACATCACATATGCAGTTCACCTGCTGTTCCTGACACAGATGAGACTGAGCAGCAAGCCCAGGTTCGAACAACCAGCCGCAACAGTTCAGGGAAAGTGCAGGCAGGAATCTAGACTGGTTGGCATGGATGGCTGTGTGTGTGTTTCAGGGGCTCTAAACACAGCTCAATTATAGCAGTGCCAATTGGGTAATTGCACTCACGCCAGCATCAGTCTGGGATATCAAGTCTCAGGTGTTCACAGGGTATTTTTGCGTCCATAAAACATGAGGTTCTCCCATAGGGACCATAAAAATCTCTTTCTAAGTAGGCCATATCCATATTTGCTGCTATTTAAAGAGATGTTGTCAACACAGAAACCATATTGCTCATCTGGAAGAAAATCACCTGCTAAAAACCATAATACTTTGAAGAGATTAGAGGATTAAAGGAGCTTTCCCTCTGTTTTTCATCTCATATGATCCCAAGCCCGCTGAAACCGCTGGAAAGATTACCTCGGCTTTCAGTGAACTCAGGATCAGGCTTTTTGGTGCACTTAAGCGTCCTGAAAAGATTGGCAGAGTCTGTTGTTCTCACTTGGCAATTCTGGGATGCTCTTATTCACGGCTGTCCGGTGCTAACAAGGGCCTGGCCTGGCTGACACAGGCAGCCCGTTCCAACCCCACGTTCCCCTCTTTGTGGACAACACCACCTCTCCAGACAGACACAGTCTGGTGCAAAACCACCGACTTGACAGAGTAGTTGACAGGCTGTAGTTTGTGATACTACTTGTGATATATTTCTTTTAACAGGCTCTCTAAGACACCTTATTTCCATGCATAATGAAGCCTGCTTGGAAGAATATTAATTTTTTCATTCTGGGCTTACTTAATTTTTATGGGCTTGGATTCCTTTAAAAAGAAAAGTTGTCAGGACCAGATACAGATTCTTGTACATACAGGAAGCCTGTGTCTGGAACGTATTTCAGGTTACGCATGTAGTTTATGCTTAACAAAAGTCTCCCATGACAAAAATCTGCTTCTTCTTAAAGGCTTCACTTGTGAACTTATGCTGGTAGGTCATACTGCTAATGTGCAATTCCAACACTGTCAGCTACAAGCAAACACATGAGACAGATGGGCATTTTCCTTACAATGAATGGCAGTTGGCTCCGATAACAAACCATCAGCCAACACTGAAATCACTGAAGAGGGAACAAATCTCCCAGAACACAAACTGGCTCTGTTGTCAGGCCAGAAAAGTTGGTTTGCAACTTTCCAGCTGATGCTTTTTCATCTTCCTCCATTTATGCTTTCAGGTCCCAGCTGACACTACCAGAGGATTTACGGACTTGAATTTAGCCACGGCTAAACTTGAGTTTAGCCACGGCTGCGCAGCAACGGCACAGTGCTAACAGCAGGTTCCTGGCTTTTACTTTTTGCTGTGCTAACTCCCTGCCACGTGGATCTGGAAGCGTCACTTCACCCCTCCAGACCTCTTCTCCCCAGCCTGTAGAAAGGGGATACCAACAGCAGCGCTGTCACGGAGCAGTCTGGAGTACGGACTGCATTATCGCCCTTACAGGCCTGCAGTAAGAGCAGTGCAGGCACACAGCAAGGCTGTGGTCCCACCATGGTACTGTCCTGGCCCAGTCCGGCTTAAGAGGTTCCTGTCTCCTTCCTCCCATCCCCAGCCACATTTGGGGTACCACTCCTTCAGCCGGCCCAGTGTAACTCTCTGTGTGGCCATGACCTAAAACCAGTCTTGAAATGATCTGGGTTTAAAAAAATATCCTCCCTCAGGTATTCCCAGCTAGATCATTTCGTTGATGTTTCATTGAGTTGGGTAAAGTATGACCAGTCCAGCTGGGCACAGCTGTGGGAGGGAAGGCAGACCTTAAGGAGCAAGAAAGCTCTTGAAGAGGATCTGCCATTGCCAGAAAACCATTTCCAAAAGCTGCTCCTGCTCAAACAGCTTCTGGTTGAAATGTGCAGAAAGAAGGGACCACGCTGAAGCACAGAGAGGCAATGGGATGTGTGCACAGTCAGTAGCAGAGCTCAGAGCTGGAATATTATCTTCTCCTCTTGATCACACCACGTCCCACCATACAGACCATACTCCCAGAGAGAAGGTGAGCTTTCATTTGTCATTTTTACAGTGCTTCAAGATCATCCACTTAAACACGGGAAGTACTCCAGAGTATTACTGCTCCTCTAAGTGAAGCGGACAGCAGCTCTCTGCTGATAAGGTCTGTGGACCAGATGCCATTGCTTATTGTGGTTTCCATAACCCAACAGGGATATTTCTAAAAAACCTCCACACATGACTTGCAGTGGGAATAAGAGCCAATGCTACCCAGAGAGCTGAGCTAAGGAAGTGTGACTGGGGACTGAGAAATTCAACCCACCCCATGGCTGGTCAGCTAGAGGTACAGGTTCTTTCTGAATGTCCTTTTAAACCTCTGGGCCATCATCTCTTAATCTCATGGAAGCAGAGGCACTGGGCGTCTGACGTACAACTGGAAACGCACCTGCTTTCCTTCACAGTCTCTATAGGATTCTTCATGGTTGTATTATTGTCCAGGCCTGCAGTTCTCAGCCCCTTCCACATGTTCCTGACTCTTTCTGACTAAATGGAAACATTTGTGTCCACTCCTTCCCTGCTGGCACCTGCCTTCCAGACTTGGAGTCCTCTGCTATCGGAAGCTGCTATTGTACCCACCATCCCGGTGTCATCCCAAATACACCCTATCGCTCTTTTCAGGAAGCCTTCTTCCTTAGTCTTGTCCTTTGCTTCCTTGTGCAGGTTTTTGTTGTCACCTTGTCCCCCATTTCATAGACAGGAACCCCAGGTCCTTACATGCCCTTATCCTGAACAATTCACTGCTTAAACAAGTTCAGAAAGTAGACATATATTGAAATGTGTACAGGATTTCCACCTAGATCTCAACACCCCTTCCCTGCCAGGACTACAACCTAAGTTAAAGGTATCCAGTCACCTGTGAGGGGGCTAAAGCCACCATAATTATGAAGCTGAAAATCAAGTCTTCACTAATGAAATATTAAGCCATTTGAATGAGTCTTAAGTAATTAACTATGAATTACTAGGGAGGCAATTAAAACTGCTTTGTAAAACTGTAACACTTGCACAGAAACACTAGAAAGAGAAGACAATTTCAGCTATCTTATTCTGTGATGCTCCATCACAACATCTCTATCAAAGGCTTGCTGAGCTCAGGATCTGTGGAAATGGGACCACATCCCCAGCTTTCAGCTCATTTCATTTGAGACTTAGACAAAATGTGGTCTGGATGTCAGCGATCATAATTTAGGACCCAAAACATCCAGACAAGAAGTCTCCCACCTCTGCAGTGAGAATCAACTTGAGTTATAAATGAATATTCAGGCACTTTACAGTCTCAGGTGAAAATGATGGAAAACTGAGGAATTTCCAGATAAAGGAAACTGGAGTTTCCCCACTAACTAGTACTTTGGCACTGCCAACAGATTTGTCTTCCTCCCGCTATCCTGAAGAAATGACAACCTTTACCATTAATTGTTATTACTATGGAAAACAAACAGGCCAGGGTGGGTCCTTCACATGAAACAACCTCTTTAATACTGGAACCACTGTCATTCTCATTTTTAGACCAATTACCATTTTGGTGTTAATAAAATCACCTCATGTATTTTAACAAATCCAACTAGGGAGACTGAACACATTCGCAGAAACAAAACCCACTGCGGATATTAAAAGCACAGAAACCACACTGAAACCATAAAGGCCCTGGGCAGAAAGTGTTTGGAGGCTGGGAAAGTAGTAGGAAGAAAGATCATATGCACTACCCAGTTCCTGTGTACTTTGCTATGCATGCACCTCGGGCTGCAGATACTAGTCAAACCTTTGATCTGCTCCAAGACAGCTGTTCTTATGTTCTTACTCACAGCTTGTGCCATTCTGCGTATTTCATTTCACATCAATGATAAAAATAGCCTACTCAATGAAAATGGTTGCATACCATAACCTTCTCATCTGTTTCTTCATTGGGTTTTCATACTCCAGAACAAAAGCACAAAGGCTGGGCTGGACAGCTGAAGGAAGCATTTAGGGATCTGACACCACCTACCTCCCTTTGGATTATAAAGTTGCAGAAGTATTTCTGCTTGTCACTCTAGCTCTGTCTACATGGGGAGCTTCAGCTCCACAGAAGTTCTTTCAGATGACTCTCATTCCTGTGCAGACGTCACTATCATCTCCTCTAAAACTTGAGTCCAGTCTCAGAGCTCTAGCATTCCAGAAGTACCAAGTCAGTGTACAAGGTTGATGCCCTGGCATTTCACAGACTACATCTGTGGATGTCAAAAGCAGCCAGGAACTGAGTCAAATGTAATTCTTGGCGAAGCCAGTCCTGCACGCCAAGCCTATGGAAACAAACCACTCCACCAACAAACACTTGCTCTTCCTTTTCTCATCAGCCTTATCTAGTGATAAGACAGTAACAACTGCCCCAAATTCCCAGCTTCCAGAACTTTGCTGATTCCTGTTGGGCCACCTGCTTGCATAGAAAGGGATCCCCATTTCTTTGGTAGGAGGGAGGTAACAGGACTGCAGTGTCCAAAATCAGGACAGAGGAAGCAGTCCTTGTGAAAATCTTACCGAGAAAAGGGGAAAACCCTGGTTGGAGAGGAGGGAGGAAGGCTTTATGCAAGTATTTTCTGTCACTGCTTACGCTGTCTGAGTTGGCAGAAGGACAGTATTTTCAAGTACTTTCACTCGCTGCGTGTGCTTGTCTCCAGAGGGTGGTTAAAGGCTCATAGCAGCCATCTTGCTGTCATTTGTTTGCCAGTTCACTACATACAGGCAGCAAGTGAAAGCACTTTTTACTGCATGTCACACTACCTAAATTCATGTCCTGCAGTGGTGGGACAGACTCTACATCTTTTTTCAAAGGAATCATATTAGTGTTTTGTATCCCTCTGTTGTCCTCGACTTTTAACAGATGTTAAAAAAAAAAAAAAAAGACCTTTCAACAATTTCTTACAGAAATAAAATGGGTGGGAAATTGGGTGTCAGGACTACTAATGGCTGCTGTCTGGACAGGATTAAGGTGTACAAAAAGGCAAAGTCTAGATGAAAATGCTTTTTGATGTTTAATCCCACGCAAAGATGGAGTTTAAGCTCAACAGCTTAAAGACACATCCATGTGGCTATCAGAGATCCTAAGATGAAAGGCTCTGCCAACAGCATATTTATGCTATGGGAGTTAAATGTACATATCAAGAGGGAGAGCAGATTGTTAACAAGGGAAGTGCTTTCAGGTGACTCCACAGAGCATGTTACCTTTTCTTAATAAGTTCCAGGGCTGAACCTATGAATTCATCCTTCATTTTTTGCAGTTTAGCTCCATAGCTGGATAAGTCTGTGGCTTCTAACAGCAGCGATGAACAGCAAGAGGACTGGGCTTCGGAAGCCAGCGACTGCCCTGCAAGGTGGAGGACATCATTTAATTGTCTTGTCTCTCCTTTCTGCTGCTCATCACTGAAGATCTCCTGCCCGGCTCTGTGTGTTGTTACTGCCTGCAAAGGTGATCGTGGAATAGGGCTAGAGCAAATGGGGACTGGGGATCTCTCCGGGCTGGGGATCTGGAAGGTTCTGTCTTTCACCTCAGGGCTGCTCATTCTGAAACCATCCCATGTGGCTGGATATTGGGAAAAGCCAGCAGAGGTGTGGTTTTCATGGAACACATCGTCATCACCCTCCGCTGTGACAGCGGCTTCATTCACAGCTTTGGTCCCCACAGCTTCTGGACACACATTCTTACTGTTCTCCTCCTCCAGGGTCTGGTTTGCAGGCAGACCCTTATTCAAGCACTCTGTTGGCCCACTGCTGCTGGCAGATGAATTTGCCTCCTTACTTCTCATTTGCTTGAATTCCTCAAAGGTGGGTATGTAGAGCCTCCCTTTGCAGCGGCCTTTCTTGCTCTGTCCCACTGTGGCTTTGACATCTGTTTCCCCACTATACTGTTCCAGGGTTTCTGCTGTTCTGGATTTGGCCATCTCATGGCTTTCCCCAGCACGCTGAAGGGGCAAACTGGGGGAGCTATTCTGCCTTCGGAGCTGAAGCCTCCTTTGAGCCTCCTGCTTGATGTCTTCTGGACTGATGATCCTGTGTGCAAAACACAGTCTCTGCCTCCCTGTGAGGCTGTGCCTGAGAGCAGTGTGTTCCACCAAAACCGTGCAGCAGTTGACAGCACAACCGTTCTTGTACTGCCGGCACATCTGGCATTCAAAAAACTCCCGGGCCGTCAGGTCAGGCAGGGCCACCTGTGGACGCACTGGCTTGCAGGGCTCTGCCACCTTACTGCTGTGCAGCCTCAGCTTCTCCTTCAGCTCTTTTTTGGCATCCCCGTGTAGGGCTCTTTCCTCTGCAGAAGGGAAAAGCCACTGAGGCACTTTGGCAAAGGGAGGGAGGAACACATTCTGTGCTGATCGAGATGTCTGTTTAGCATGGAGAGAAAGGTTTCTCAGAGAGTCCGATGTGCTCTGTACTGGGGCCACATCCACACAGCCTTCTGTCCACTGACTGGTGCCTCTATAGCGAAAGATGATCTCGTTATCCAGGCTCCGGCAGTGAGAATACAGCCCAGAGTCAGCAACTGATGCCCAGTGAAGGTTCTCCACGCTCCGATACATCCGGTTTTCCACAGGACTGGCCAAAGGTGCCTTGCCTGTGTGGCAGGAGTCCAGACTGTGGAAGTCCCCAGAAAAAATATGAGTGTCTAGGTTCTTTAGTGGATGCATGCTGCTAACGGAAAAATCCTTTAAGCCATGTTGTGCATAGAGCTGATTATTTTGGCAGCTCAAGATCACCCGGCAGTGTTCCTGTCTCTCATCAACATTGATGTATGTCATAGCAAATGCACATGGAGGCTCTAAGACAGTGGCGTCTAGGGGGAGAGGAGGGAGCTGGGGTGTCGCTTAGATGCCAGTCAATGTCCACAGACCACAGACAGCAAAGTGTGCTGCTGGGTACTCACATAAGAGAGCTCTCACATGGGTTGAGTCGCCATGCGCAGAAGACCTGTGAATGGAAGGAAAGATGAGTTACTGAAGCAGCCTGGTGATGACTCGCAGGATGCAACAGCAGGTCTGCTTCCAGGGAACGCAGAAGCCAAACACCAACAGCTTGGGTAGAAACAGAGCAGCGTAACTAGGAGATGAGCCGCAGGGCTTGGGGCAGGGAATCTTCTCCATCTCTAGCCAAGCCAACAGTGGCCTTACACTACCCATCTCAATGTGGCAAGTTTATTCTACCTGCCCTCAGCAATCCCTCACAGTAACACTGCTCAGCTCTAGTGACGAATGCTCAAAAGTGCTTGCTGCAGGCTCAGCTTACTCACACAGCAGCGCTAAGGAGATGGGAGGTTTACAAGAGATAGTGGGGTTCAGGTTCTTTCCCTCAAATGGGGTGCAGACAAGAGTGTGTGGGTTACGGAGGAGGCTGGGGGTGGAAAAGAATGACATGACAGTGTGGTCTCCTGGAAAGCTCAAGTAGCAAGGAGAAAGAAGGCGGCTGACTGATGGTGGTTTTATCTCTGAGAGTCACACTGCAGCCCCTTAATGCTCTGATTTACCCTTCCCAGGGAAGATGCATATGGTTTAGTGACTGGTAGCCAGGCATTTCCAAGGCCTTTCCAGTGCAGAGACAAAGGTACCTCAGAGACTTTCACAAATGCACCCTCCTGACCCCTTAGCAACAGGCCCAAATGATCACCCCCCATGACAACTCAGCAGAGGCCCAGAAAGAGAAGGTGCAGTTTCCATGGCTGCTCCTATGATCTGTGTTCAGCATTGTAATGCCCAGGGAACCTAAGTGACTAAACCACATGTTCAGAGCAATGTGGAGAATTAAATCCCAAAACTTCAGTTTGGGCCAGCAGGATGCAGGTCTAAGTCATCCTTGGAAGTGGAAGGTGCCTCCTTACATTGAACGGAGAGACTATGAATTTCTCTTAAGGATTTAGGCCTCATGGACTTGCCAGCAGTCACACAAGACATCAGTGTCTGCTAGAGCCCTGTCCACTCCCTCCCTTGGCAACCAGCGGCAAAGGGAACAAGCGAGTGCCATATGTAAAGGAGAACAAGACTGGGCAGGGCATATGGGCTTAGCCTGCCATTCGCATGGGCAACTTAGAGCTGGGATGGTGGGGCATCGGTCTCTAATAGCCAGGCAAGAACAAACCAGGTTGACCACCCAGGAAGAGGTCTTGGTAAAGCAAGACAGGACCATGTAAGTTAGAGCCCAGACTGTTTGCTTTGTAGTGCAGCTGTGCTCTCCACACACTGCCAACTATTCAGGCAGCACGGCCACCTTGACCAGGAGGGGAATGAAGAGGCTTGTTACTCCCTGAAGGCTAAGGCACCTCAGGCACCTAACCATGTGAGGCACCAACAGACGTCTTCCATCTGAGGAGAAGTCTGAGGCAGTGTATCGTCTGGAAGCCAATCTCGGTAACTCGCTGGTAGCTTGATTCACCCCTTGCTTAGAGTGGTTCAAATTAACATACTTTCCCTGCATTAATGAAATTATCTCTAACCTAATCCCAGAGAGGGAAGGCAGAGCTGCTCCTGTGGATCATTGCTGAATGGAGAACATTATTTCAGTCTGTTGTAATTGCTAAAAATAAAAATTAAAACTAGCTCTCAAGGCGTGGCTGTTCCCCAGGATGTCATAGGCACTTCTCACCCAGTCTTCTCATGGTGGGGCTGGAGTTCCCCCTTCTTCGCGGCTCTGGAGGAGCCCACAGGTGACAGCAGAGAAACGTGAGGATCGGGACTTTCTGTGATCATAGGTTATAACATGATCTGTCAAGAAAGAGAGAATGAGATGATGTGAGAGCCAGTCACTGAGCAGGGAACAGGGCTCCTGGTAGTGCCGAAGGGCTCCTGTGAGAAAGCGCTGTTAATGAGAGATGCCATGGCCTGTCAGGTTGGTCTGTGATCGGTCACAGCCACAGGACTAAAAGCCACCGTGTACTTTCTGCACTCTGCTTTCAGACCACGTAGAAAGAGAAAACAACCCTTGCTGTAGTGAGAGTTGAGAATACAGCGGTCCTTGCCCAAGGCAAGGAGTTACATACAGTAAGGCCTGAAAAGAAACCAAGGCCCATGTGAGGCAGGTTCCTGGGCTCCACGCTTGCCTGGCAAGCGCTGCGTGTGTGCGTGTGAGAGCCAGCCAGCCAGCGAAGAAAGCGCACAGGCAAAGGGAGAAGCAATCACGAGAAGAGCAAGGAAGCAGAGCCACAGAAACAACGGGGTGGGATGTGTCTGTGGCTGCTCCCTTCACCAAAAGATGGGGCAGCACTGAAAATACAACTGACTTGTGTCCTCACGGTCTCTCTTCAGGTGGAAACTTATTGCCGGGTCTTTAGCGCTGACCCCTCTTTGGACTGCAGGACAGCTGCAGTGACACCAGGCGTGGGTGGCCACAGGCCCCTGCCTGCTCAGGTGTATGGCACAGACCACGCAGCGGGGGTTTGCGTCCCTCCATTACACAGGGGAATGCCTCAAACCTGCCGGCAGGAGAGGGTACCCCTTTGCCCTGCAGGAGAGCAGAGGCCGATTTCCCCAGTGTGCTTGTGAGCACTGCTGGGCAGCAGGGACCTGCTGCTGCTTTGCCAGGGCAGGATTTTCCAGAAGACGTGCGCAGGGCGGCAAAAGTTGCTTTCAGGGAAGGAGCAGCTGGGAGAAACCTGCGGGCAACGTGGGGCAGGCAGAGAGTGAGGGACAGAGGGGGCAGCAGAGGCAGGTTTGCAGAGTGGAGGACCCAGAGCAGACAGAGAACAGCCAGAGCCGGCTGTGAGAGACGGCAGGAGACAGAGACTTTCCAGAGGAGGCTGTGCAGAGTTTGCTGACATGTAGGAGGCACCAAAAATTACTGGATTTAGTGGAGGAAGAGGGGAATTTTGTTCCCAAATAATTTATTTTAACCTTTGTCACCCATCAGAGCTTAATTTTCTTTCTCTAAAAAGTGACTTTTTGCTCTAAGACACAGGAGGTCCCTTTGATACTTTCAGGAGAGCTCAGAGCAAAGGTGCACGTGGATGTAGCTCACAGGTGGGCGTGCGAGGGGGCCCAGCGCCCTGGCTGCAGTGAGGGGGAGCCTCAGAAATTGGTGGGCTCCGTTTTGCCTCACGCCTGCAAGGCAGCTGTGGAGATCTCATAGCAGCCAGCCGGGACAGGAGCACCTTTCTTCCCTGTCACTCCATCCTTGAAAGGATCATCTCTTTCCTCCTGAACTCTTCTAATCTTCCCCATTCCCCCCATGTCAGTACCCTGAGGGCTGTGCACAGCACGTCAGGTAGCAAGGCTCAATTTCACTGATCACCCAGGCCAGCTGCTGCCCCAGTCGTGGCCTGTGAAGGGGGACAGGCTGTCCTGAGGCGCAGCCTGCTTCCCCCGCTGCCCGGTGATGCCTGGAGCAGGAAGAAAGCAGAGGTCTCTCTAAACACCAGGTAATTCTGACCTGGCCTGTAACCAGGAAACCTTCTCCTGGGAGCCCTTCTCCCTCCTCCCCCTGTTCCTGTGCTCCGTTCCTCACGGCACACAGCAACAGTATCACAGTTTCAGCTCAGATGCCTGTGTTTGTCAGGTCAGGGACACTGCTGGAATATAAAGCACGTGTCCACACGCTCAGCTCTCAAGTAACATGACCACAAGCATGTTCTAGGCACTCTGCTGGAAGAGAGCATGAGATTGAGACAGAAAAAAAACCCATCTGACTTAATATGCTTATGGTTGACATGCTAAAGATGATCTTTCAGCACATCCTTGGAGGCTCACTGGACATACAGACTATTTAGCTGCAGTCTTACACAGTCACCATCGAAGAAACACTGGGAACTACAGCAACATGAAAGAGTTTGTCCTTCCACCACCTCAGAGCTACAACTACAGTCTATGGCTACAGCAGGTGATCCCAGGTCTGGAAACTTGCAAATGCCACCAAAGTGTGAGGCAATGGGGAGAAGTAAATGCTGATCTCTCACATGGTGACCCAACTCAGGGTCGTAACTCACCCTCTCCTAAAGGTACACAGCAGTCCTAACGCACCCTGCGTTCTCTTCCAGTGAAACCAAGCAGTGACTTGCCAGTTTTTTGTTGCTCCCCGGTGTACGTGAGCACTGTGGGTTGATGCTGCACTCCTTCCTTTACCCACCTGGGTACTTCCAGGCAGTCCTGTTCACACTTCCCCAAAGCTAGGGCTTTATTCCAGTCCAGCAATCCTCCAGGCCAATGCTGACTTATTCCAGGCCAAATAGCAAAAAGGAGCTTAGTGCTGGCTGCTGCTATGGGAATGGCACATCATTGCTCTTTGATCACGCTGTCTGTGCAACATTTGCCTGTTCCCTGGCTCAGGGACTGAAAAGCTCCTGGTGGTTATGAGCCTCACGCCTTAAGTGAGCATAAGACTAAAGGCATCGTGTGCTCAGCTTATTTTCTACCATGTGATTCTGTTTAATCAACTTCTCCACTACTCTGATAAGTGCCTGCTTGGAGACTTGCCACTAACCTTCATTTTCCTGCAAAATCCCCCCAAAGAACTTGTTTCTCAAGGATTAAAGCTTGAAGGATAAATTATTCTTTCCCATACACATAAGAACTGTTCTGCCTGGCTGACCTTCCTAACAAAGCACCAGCCAAAGCATCAGGAGGATGAAGCAGGCAGGCACAGGGTAAGTTGTGAAAAGCACTGTGGAGAGGACCAGTCATGTCCAAGGACTCCAGGGACATCAGGACAGGGGACCACAGAGCCCCACAAGGCCTCAGGAAAAGAGGCCACCAAATCTGGCAGGGCTGAGCAGGTTTGCCAGGGCTGCTTTGCAGAGTTCACTGCAGCAAGATTTGCTCGATAGACTTGTCAAACAGGGAAGGTTTTTCCATGAGATGGTGGAGAGCAGCTTGCGATTGTTTGGCCTCTCATGCCTTGATCAGAGAGATCAAGTGAGTCTGGTACATTTTCCACTCTCCACATTTACAACTCATTCACAAGCAAATTAACTTCTGAGTCATGGCCATCACATCAAACTCCTGTTTCCAGGGGAGGGGAGTAACTGGAGTCACCTTACTCCATCTTGAAATAAGAGACTAAACTAACCTTCAGGTCTTACTCTAATTTCTCTGCATTGGGTTTTGCAAATCGCACCACTGAACAGAGGCTGGTTTATTCTGGAGTACAGTCTCCCTTTTATTTCAGAGATCTACCCAGTGAGAAGGATGTGAAAGGCACATTTCAAAGAGCTGTACAAAGGATTTTAGCAAGCTATGATACTGCCATGAGTTTTTTGCTATCTGATACAGCAAATCTCATGGACACAGCATGATCTGTCTACTGCCATGTCATGCACATCACTCCACTTCATCTGCTTAGCAGAACACCAGCAATCTCAAGGGAAAGAATGCCAGATACATCTATTTTCTCTAGTTAAAGGTTAACAAGAAAAATAAAGGTGCCTTGGCTGTACTTGCTTTCTTAGCTGTTCGCTTAACCAGAGCTGAGCTGCAGGAACTAGTTGACGCAGTAGGATGATTAGGTGACTGCACTTATGTTTCTTGGGTTTTTTTGTCTGTTCTAGCAGCTGAAACAGGAACAGGCCTTATATAGTGTCTGTTAATTGCAGCAGAGAGGTACAGCCACAGTAGTTATCTAAATCAGTACAATTTCCTGGGTTTCTTTTCCTTCCTAGGGTAAATAGCTGAGCATAACTTTCCTTGAGCTTACAGTATTATCTCTGCTTTCATTGTCTGCTCCATGGCACAAACCAGGACTGCTAACAAGAGGAACAACTGCCATCTTGGTTTCAAAACTAGGTAATATAGAGAAAATCATAATCTCTATAGTCTGCTCACTGTATTTATAGTCCTTGTGTTCTCAGTTTAATCATAAGCATGGACCATGTCCTCTCAGACACAGCCTGGCATGGGGAACAAAGTCTCTCTTGAACCTCTGAAGATCCAGTGCAGCCCAGGGTCTAGGGGGTTGCTGAGAGCACAGGCAATGGCATTAAATTTCTGCTGTGCAATGAGCTGCTTGCCTTGTCACATGATATTGTCTAACCATTTTCCTCCTTTCACATCTCTTCTCATTCTTTTCATTTTTATTTTCCTGCTTCCCCAACTCTTCCTCCATCCCACTGCATTCAACACAAGTTTAACTAGTTTTCAACACAGCCTATCTGGCTGCTGCTGAACAGCTCCCACTTCTGAAGCATCACCACCATTACCATTGCCTCCAGAAAAAGAACTGGTCATGGCCATGGTCAGGGCTGGCTGATCAGAGCAGCCCAAAGGTATAGATGTGCCAGAGAAGAATGTGTCCACATTATCTGTTGATCATCATGGGAACATCCTGCTATGGTACATACAGTTCCACCACGGAGAGTGTAGGAATCACCATAACTTCACGTGAACTTCTATTTTGGTCAGATTGGCTCCTCAATAGTCTCAAGGCAGTGGAAAAGCTAATTTCAAAATTTTATGGAATCACTTGAAGGTCTTAAGCATTCTTGGCTCCCTTTCTGTGGGGTTTTTAAGCTGTTTGGGAACTTTGTTTTATTGACACAAAAGGTTTCACCTGAGAAGCCCTACTGCTCCACACATCTGTGCACTTGGCAACAGTGCCTTTGACGAATTTTTCTGGCTGCTCTCTAAGTCTGCGCAGCTTCTCCTTCTTGTGTCACAGCATGGTTTTCTCCTTGTGTTCCTCCTTCAGAAAAGCTGTGATGACATGACACTTCCAGCCTGCCTCTAAGGGCAGCCATTCCAGTGCAGCATACTTTCAAGGTGACCTGCGTTTCCTCTTGATTCCTTGCTTTGGGAAAGGGTAACCCTTTTTGTTTCACCAATGCACCACTCCATCTCGGACAATATTGCTCCAACAGTCCTGCTGACAATGCAGCACAGGGAACGGAGCTTGAGAGGACTAGCATTGACCTTGCAGCAAAGGAAGGCTGAGGATGTCCATTACTGTGACAAACGCTCCTGGAGACACCAGTGTGACACCCCCATCATGGGCCCCAGCTAGAGCTGCTTGGCAGCATCAGCTGTGAAGCACCCCAGGAGATGGCATCGCTCATCAGTTTCAGTGAGTCAACACCCTGGCTGGCCACCAAGCTCCTTTGGATGACTCCTTCTGAGGAGGAAGAAAATCCTATTTGCAATAAAGTCCTCTCCTGGGACAGATCACACAGAGAACCAACGAACCTGCAGGGTGCATCTGATGGAATAGAGCCCGCACTTTCTGTAACACCATGAGCCACTCTGCTCCTCTCATAGCTGGAGAAAGAGCCCATGGGGGTTATAACCAAGCAGAGCCAATGCTTAGCTTGAGTTAGCTGATGTTCGGGACCAGGTGGTTTCCCCTGCCCCATGCACACGCCATGAACCAAGCACTCCCATGCCTTTGGGTCATGCAGAGCAGATCGTGCCCACCACCCACCCTGGTCCTGGCATACACACACAGCAAGCACTATTAGCCTCATGAGGAACAGACATGAGCTCAGCACAGCCTTCAACCCTGCTCCATACCTGGCTCCAAGATCCCTGACTCAGACACAGGCAGTTCTTGGAGGCGAACATGAGCCAAGAAAACTTATCCAGCCCCCCGTGAGGTCTGGGAAGCACAAAGCCATATGTGAGCCCACTTTACAGCCTGGCACCTCCACTCCTCCTCCAAATTCCTACTTACTCTGCATAGATATGACATCAGCACTAACTGCAGAAAATGGTGACAATATGGCTACAAGTGAATTTATTATTC